ATAGCCTGGAATATTGTTTTATGCTTTTTTTTTATTGACCTAAAAATCAATTACCATTTTTGTATGAGTTAAAAATGGATGTTTATTTCCTAAATCCTAGGGAACTTTTTTTAATACTACAGGGTCTCTTTTGCAGGGAAAGACTTGGGAGCAATATTTCCTGTTTGGTAAGAACCATAACCAAACAAAGAACCATACTGAAATTCGGATCAGAGAGATTCCTTAGCTCTAGTGATACCATTGCAAAGAGCTCGATCCTCTCTGCCTAAGTAGTGAAATAAAAGCAACAGCATGTCTCCAGAGAGCCTGCAAGGTTTGTGATACCATCAAAGACCAAAAGGATCTTCCCACGTCCCCATTTTTCTTTTTCCTTTTTTTTATATTTACCACATAAATACCTTCTGTCTATCCTTGTGGGCCACCAGAAACAATACTCCACCTTAGGGCTGCATTGTCTTGGTTACTGTCTGGTGTAACACACAATACCTGACACAACTTCAAGGAGAGAAGTTGATTTTTGTCTCATGTTTTCAATACATGGGTAGCTGACTCCAAGGGAGAAAGGGCATGGCAGAAGGGTCTAGGCAGAGGCAAACTACTCACATCACAGTGACCAGGAAGCAGAGAAAGAGGAGAGGAGTCATGGGGAAGAAGCTATGCCTTTTCAGCTCAAGCTCCCAACGGCAGGCCTCGAACAGCCAGTCAGCTTAGGGACCTTCATAATCCACCCACGAGCCACAGGTCCCTCCTCTGTGTGCCTGGGGTGGGTGAGCAACAGTCCAGGTCCAAACCAAACAGTATTAACTCTCCAACCCTCTGCACCTTGCAGTCCAAACAACAACTTGTTTTCTTCTTTGTGCTACAGGACACAAAACAATTTCACAGCATAGATGACGTAAAATTTCACCTGCAAGCAGAGCAAGCAGAAGAAATGAAGCAAAGCAATATGCTAGTTAATCCTGGTAAGCAGAAAGTAGACAACATTTGACTTATACACACCAAAGGTTAAGAGGAAAAACTCAATAAAAAGTCGTATCTGTGAAGTTTCTAGGGCTCTGTGGCCTGATGCATATTGAAATATTTCTTATCAATTGGGGAAAATGTTTCTGTAGCTGATACCCACTATGTCTGTATTTTTATTACAATTGATACAAGATTTGTTAATTTTAGTTCTACTCATTTATGAATAACTCCATGAACTTTTGGTTTTGTTTAGACACAGAATAAAAAGTTGTGCAACAGAACCGGACTGCCATTCAAAATGTCTTACCTCTTAGGTCCTCTAACTCAGCAAATCTAATAATGGTTGAGATGCCTTTTGCAGCTAGGGATCATGAGGGAAATCTTTGGGAATCTGTCACTGGTAAATCAGTGGACACTTCCTGAACTCTGGAGAAAAGTGCTGCTGTCTCTGCAAAAACTCTTTCTCCTGTTGACAAAGAGCTTCCTCCTTGGTACGGTGTCCTAATGAAGTCTTAGTATTGCCCATCATATATCCATGTGGCACTTAGTTCTCATATGAAAAGGGCATTGCCTCACCCACTAAACTTTACAGGGCATCAATCAAATGGAGGAAGAAATTCATTTTCCACAACGGGTTCTGAAGTCCTAAGTTCTATTAAATTAGATCAAATCCCTGGTTCCTCCTTCTGCCTCCACCTGCCTTGTCCTATGGAGCAAGATGTAGATTTATTCTGGAACTATGAGAACACTGAAGGTGCAGCCCTACAGTGATACCGAAGGGTAATGGTGAAGACAACGCTTCCAGTAGGGAACACGTGAAGTTATGCACATGACTGCTCATCTTTCCTCAACAGAGAAGAACAGAGGCACACAGAGTGAGTCATGAGTGATGGGTAAGTTTGGCTGAATGGTCAGTACCTCAGGAAAAGCATGATTGTAAAAATCAGCTAACAAAAGATAAGGTATGTGGTGGAAAGACTTCAGGTGAGCAAAAAATGTAGACATTTGGTCTCAAATAAATGTTCACCAACAGCAGCCTTGGAAGAAGACTATCTTAATACCCTCACAACTATCCAATTGGCTTATGAAATGAATGATCAGGGAGGCTGCGCCAGGGCTGATGTGGAAGCACAGCACCATGGGCTTCTGTTCACCTAGGCTAACTGGGAATGACCCAATTTGGCCAAGACCAAAGATCAGCATGGGCTCCTGAGATGGCATTGCTCACTCCCTGAGAAAGTGAGCCCAGCCACCTGGGGACAGGCTCAATGTGGTGGATGGAACAACATAAAACAAAAACTATTTGTTCTCAGTGGGAAAAAAAACCTTATGCTCATTACGCCTTCCCTGCCCTTAACATTTCAGGTAATGCCACCATCTATGGATTTATAGGATGTCTCTTCACCTTCAAATTATTCTATGCAGTATCACTTCTGCAAAAAAAACTCATTTTATACCAATTAAGTCCAATGTTGGGCTCACGTTCATGGAACTCATTGGTATCATTATGTTCCCTCATCCTAAAACAGCTGGTCTAATAAAATTATGGAATGGCCTTGGACAACTGTTATGGACCATCTGGAAAGTCCTTCAGAGGGCTAGAATGATGTTTTTCAAGATGTATGTTCTCAATCAGTTGTAAATATGAAATATGCAGTGACACTTTTCCTATAGTCAGGATACATCAGCCTGGAGAATCACAGGATATGGAGTTGGCCTCTATCATATTAATCGTTCCCTAGGAAAAAATGTTTCCTTTTCCTGCAAATTTTGGCTTCATTTATAGATATTACTTCCCAAAGGCAAAATGATTTCATGAGACTATAATATTGTCCTGGAACCTAAGACTACCACTGACTACTTTGGGCATCTCAGGCCATTAAAACAATGGGCAGGTGCAGTATGTCTGTGTGCAGTGTCATTCAGCCTCCCCATATTTGGTGGTAAAATTAATTGAAAGCTCCAACAGCCCAAAGGAAGCAGGATCACTAGTGGCACAGAATTTTCTGTGGAATGAGAATGTATGTCACCCACAACAGCAAGTCACTACAATTAACTGACATTCTGGGGAAGAAGACGAATATAAAATGGATGGTATAAAAATAAGGTTGTAGACATTATCTGTGATCTCATGAAAAGTTACAGTCTGATGATCAAGCATGAGTACTCTAGTAGATGTCTACTTGGCTTCAAAGTGTTTTTGTGTGTGCATATTTTTGAATGTGAATTTGTGTGCAGATGATCTTGACTTACAATAACCGTACTGGAAACTTAAATCAAAGCATATTTATTATATATCCTACCAAACCTCATAGTTTGGCAAAATAATATCTGGTAGAGTATCTGTTTTTTACTCAGGTGATCTTGTAGCTCACTGAGAAATGAGGTTCTCTCCATGTCCCAGTATCTAAGTACTTACCCAAACTATGGCTTGGCGAATTATTCTACTGAGAGCTTGTCACATTTGCCCCATTGTAAAATTAGAAAGTTCTAGGTAAATCTGTTGTAATCAGTGGCCACCTGTAGCAATCTCTCTTCCGTACTTCTCTACCACAACAGATTTACTAGTTGTGGTTAATTCTACCTGCTGATTGAATTTATAAGCTATTCAAAGAAGATTTAGCTAGTTGAAAGCACCACCCAATACTGGGAAAATACTTTGTGTGCACTTCTGGAGTGGACTAGCATGTTTGTGTTTTTCTGGTACAAAGAGTATCTATAGCAATTTTAAATGAAAAAATGACTTCCTTCTCTGGAAACAAACTAATTAATAAACCTGAGCATGAAAACTTCACTAATAAGTACTACACTGTACTGAGTTATAGGAAGGTAGTTTGCTAAGACTGAGAACTACATTTTCCAGAACTCCACGCCCTGCTTTCTTCAGAGAAGTAACTGTTGGCCCAAGAAGGAACTGAGATGAGATTTGTCAGCTACAGGCAAAACAGAAGTCAGCAAGGCAAGGTACCCAGTGATTTCCAGGTGGTCCTTTCCTTTCCTGACTGCACATCCACCTGTCCTCCCTCTCCCTAGCTGACACCCCACCCGGTACCTACTCCAGACCCACAGAGCTCATAGCTCTGCAGATACTGGTTTCCCACCAACCTCCTCACTCCTCCCACCCATGTGGAAACAATCTGAATGACTGGACACATTGGTCTTTGCAAATTCCCTTAAAGTTCCCACTTGTCCACCTACACTTGATTTAAACAGATTAGTTAATGACACTCAGCTCTCTCAATTTTCCTTTACCAGATTCTTGCTTCCCTGCTCATCTTCTGCTTGTGTGAGATCGTATTTCTCCAACTCCTTTATTCTCACATATACTTAAAGAGATTTTTCCTGACTGAATCCTAGTAAATGAAGCAGGAACACAAAATTGTGGTTTTGATACCCATGTGCTTCACAAAGCCCCTGAAAGACTCCAAAACACATATGTAACAGAGTGGTATGAAAGTGTGGTTCATTTATGAGATAACAACCCAACAGGAAGCCTAGCGCTTACCCTGGATTTTGAGGTAGCAACTGTTCTTTGGGTTTCTACACTAAGTGACTCAATGGCATTACAGTAATCCCCACTGAGAAACAGCCACCGGGAGACAAAGGTATCATCGGTATACAAGGTAGTAACATTCAGTTATTTATTTAGCACCAAGTATAGAAGCATCATTGTAGTCTAGGTTTTACTCGAGTTACCTTCTATCTCGATGAAACTTGCACATTAGGTATTATCCTTGTTTTACTGAGAATAAAGGTCCATAAAGTGGACAGAACCCATCTAAATTATACTGCTGAATCCATTCTGGATCCCACTCCACAGTAGGTGCTCCTTTTAGGAGAATATCTTGGTGTATATGTCATATAAACTTCATTACAGTTTATCTCCACCTTCCTCCCATGTCGGCTTGGAGCCCTCTTTTCTTTCTCATGCTAACCTTTACTAGTGTTAAAACCTTGTAAACCATGCACTTTTTCCTTTTACCTTCTCCACAGCATGACCACACAGGAAAAGTTTTGTTGGGCAAAATGGTATGATGTTTTACTGACAAATAATGGCTGTTTTTATTTGTATGGTCTTAGAATTAAAATGTATTCATCCATTTATTTAGCACATATTTACCATATTTCTGATTAGCTTGTAAATGATTCTATACCAACACTAAAGCAGTAAGGAGGGTCCCATCAACCAGGTCTCTAAGTGGCATTTTCTACATGGTATTTTCAATAAGAAGAGGATTAACCTACAAGGTAGCCACACCACTGTTCGTCGCTTGTTAATCATGAATAAAAATCTTTTGTTTTGTTTTGTTCTGAATCATCTGTCCACAGTGATTCTATATGGAGTAAACCCAAATCATCTGGGTCATACAGTATAGCTTATACTGTTTGACCCTCTTCCTTTCCACCTAGTTAGTGTCTTAGGATTTCAGCTTTCAAGCAGTATCCATGGCCATAAATGTCAAGAATTCACTATACAAAGAACTCACTAGAATGCCAATATTGTCAAATGGTGCCAAAGTTGGTTTGTTGGTTGCTTTTTGCACACATGGAAATAGACTGTGAGCAACTTGAGGCTAGGTCTTGTATCTTAACTACCCTTTTGTGTAGTTCAGTGCATACAGAAAGGAGGCACTTTAATAGGTGTTAAATGAGTTAATTCTTAATACAATACTGTTTGATCATTACTTCAGTAAGTAAATAATATTATTTGAGCACCTATTATTGGTCAGACACTATACAGAGCTTGAAGATACACAACATACACAAATTCATCCTTAGATCTAATAATCTGAAATTGCCGAAATAAGAAAAATCTCTCTTGATGAGTCATAGAATTAAATTTGGGCCTGGACAGCACCAATGCTGAGTTTCAATTTTCTCACATTCTATATCCTGGTTGGCAAATGGTCTATTCTAAGACTACTTAAATCCTAAAAATATTATAAGGGGTATAGAAAAGTATCATATAAATTAATACATAAGATTAAAATTATGCTTAAAAATGGCTGTTCAGCTTCTTAGATCAAAAGCAATTCAGTATTCCCAATGAATACATGCACATCATTATGTAAATCACAGAAGTATCCATCAATTCTAGACCTGTTTTCAACACAGATCTCTTCCATACAATGTAACTTATTTTAGAGGAAAACATTTTCATTTGATGTTCGGTATAGGATCTAGTGCCTTTCAAAAAATGGCATTTAATAAATGAATTCATGTACTGGAAAACAATTTAAGAATCATGAAAGATTCTAACATGAATTTGACTAAATTGTATATGGAAGTACACTTCTGTGGGCCATTTTATAGAGTTTTTGGTTTTATCAAAGTCTTAAAGAGATCAATTTTTCAAAATCATTTCATGTAGTATACATTAATTGAATGTCAACTTTTTGCCAGGCATTGTAATAGAGTTTAGGTTCAGATTCTAAAATGCTTTATATAATAATTGAGTAGTGAATGCATCTTATTTCTCATATTCACATAATTGAAAGTAATGCATAACCATTAAACATATTTGCATCTTGAAACCACATCAGATACAGTATAGTAATTCATTTGCTGGTAAAGTTTATTTTATATATATGTATATATATATATATATATATATATATATATATATATATATTCCTATTGGCTTCCACCATAAAGACTTCATAATGATAAAACTGGTAGGAATTTAGTGTATATCTATATACACAGACGTGTGCATATATATATATATATGTGTGTGTGTGTGTGTGTGTGTGTGTATGTGAGTGTATATATACAATTAAGGAACTCTTTAGTGAATCATGCTGCTCAAATAGTTTAAAATATCTCTAATTCATACCACAGCTGGGTTTTTGTTTATTCTTAACAATAACAATGAAGTTACTGTCTTTACCAAAATGATGACACATAAAGAAAACTTCCTCAAATTGTTTTGTAAGCAGTTTCCTCAGGGACTTTGTACTGACTGAAATAAATAGCTTTCAAGTGATCCAGATGGGGAACAAAATGCAATTTTAAAACCTCCAGAATACCTCTAAATTTTAATGGCAATTTTTCCCTGTGGAAATCTTAGCTGTCCTCAATGCATTTAGCATCATCTATATAGAATCAATCAATATTTTGTGTGAGAAGGCATTTTTTTGCACAAAATCATCTTTACCTTTGAGGAGAGTGCCATATTCTTGTCTCAGAGATGTGGGGGAAGGGATATTTCACTAGATACAGGCATCAGCACACTTAAAACAGTAAAATCACCCACAATAGAAATGTACTTTACAATATGAAAATTTTAATGCATAATGATTCAAAATGATCATTTCCAACATGGTTAGTTTATACTTTTAGAAAGCAATTGCATTTCTAATTCACTCTGGGAAACTGAGTTGCAATTAATGATAGTGGCCAGAAGATGGCGCAGTCTCATTTCCTAAAATTTATTTAATAGGCCTTTGTGTAATTAAAGAGAATTTTTATATTTCATATTGGTTTTTGCAAACGGTAGCTAACAGTAAAAAATACAAAACTCAAAACACATGAGAACTTCAAATTTCTCAAAATGTTTACTTACTACTGATCACTTCTCTGAAAATATAAAATATTAACATTTTTGTCCTAAGCAGGAACAAAAGAGGAAGTTTAAAAAATCATCACTTGGGATTTATTCATGTTTTTAATGTTTCTTCTTGGTTCATTTTATATTATGGTGAATTACTCTTTACAACAATAAGCTTGTTACAGCTATAAGTCCCACTTTTCTCTAAAATAAAAAGTATAGTTTTAAAATAGGAACTTTATAGATGATAATTTAGGCCAAAAAGTTATTAAATAAAATTTTTCCTAAAACAGCTTTATTCAAGGCACATAAAATGTTCAAATGCTTCTTTCACTTAATAAGTGCAAGAGTCTTTAAACCTAGTTTTTTACAATGCTTGTTTAGAAAAATAGAATTTTTAAGGGCTAGTATTTCATTTACATCTGTGGAAAGAGGTACTTCCCCAAATGTGAATGAAATTTCTGACATATATTAAGAGATGCGTTGTGTGTGTCTGTGTGTGTAGTACAATTCTACAAACACTGGGAGAATACATTACAGACTGTCCTGACTAGACCTGATAAGTAGTCTGCCGCCGGTTACTGAGTTTTTACTAGGAAGGCAGGAATAATCCCTAATAATCCCTGAAAAGGCATAATCCAAAACTGGCTGAAAAGGCAATGCTGGAACCAACCCAGGCGTTAGGTATGGCGACATAAAACCTGTTAGCCCTCTTCCTGGAGAAGAATATGCCAACCGCAATGGACTAACAGCTAGTCTAGGATTTAAGCTTTCGAGACTTGAATCACCTCTGTAAGAAACAGGTGTGGTCTGAAGTGGAGAAAAAGCTGATTTGTTACCAAGAGTTCCAAAACCAATTCCAGCTAGATTAAAATTCGAAGCTGTCTGAAAGGATGCATTTTCCAAGTCTTCAGAGTGCACCAGGTCCCGAGTGTCCAGCTCAGGTCCCTTCCCATTTAAGACCTGTTCGATGGCTTGGACCACATCTCCTTTGCAGAGCTGCAGAATGCCTTCCAGCTGGCTACGCCTGTAGCTTGGAAAGATCTTGGTAAGAATATCAAGGGGATCTCTTGGCCGTGAGGACACCATGGGAAACCTGACTCTGGTAGCAACGCAGTCCTTGGTCCACTCACTCTCATTTCCGGACTCCAAATCAGAAGATGATAAGGACCCGGGACTGTCTTCGCCTCCTGATTGCTCTCCTGGGTAAGAAGACAGGACCCCATCAGCCTTATTCGAGTGTGCTGAGGTAGTTGACCTGAGACTCTGTTTCCCAATGACACCCTTAGACTTAGGAGCTGATCCCAGAGAAAATTGATGGGATTTGGAGATTCGTTCTTCTTGTCCACTGTGGCCCGAGTCACATTCACTCTCTTTTTGTTCTGCAGAAGGGAAAATAAAAAGAGATTCAAACACAAGGAAAACTTCCCAGAACCAGTGCAGTGGAGTCAGAAATAATGCTAGATAAAATAACTCACTTGCTCATTATGTATTAGTGATACTAATTAATTAAATTAAATAATAATTAATTAATAAATAATTAAATAATAATTAATTAATTAAAATTTGAGACATTTTAATTAACAGCTCAAATTTAAATGATCACTCAGAATTTGCAGTTGCTGGAATTGTGGGAAATTCTGTTTTTTATGTCATTTCAGGATCATAAAGACATATGCTTCGCAAACAGTAGTATTAAGGAATTAGGAGAGGAAAGTCTGTTGTTACTTAAAAGTACACACAGTTTGACCCATTATGTTGGTCAGGGATTTGCCCAAAATTTCTTCCAAGTTTTGCTGTTATCGAAATGAAGGGGTTTTTTTTGTTTTTTTTGTTTTTTGTTTTTTTTTTTTGTTTGTTTTTTATTGGTACAAAGACACCAATAGTTAGATTTAAATAAATGACAATAATCTCAGTTTTCATCATCAATGCTAAATTCTAATAATGGTGTTTATGTTCACAATAATTACATTACAATTAAGATGTCTTAAAGAACGTGGGAAAATAACAAGACTGTTCATTTCATTTCTAATGTGAGCCTTAACTACTGTGCTGTATCAATTTCAAATCATACCTCACTATATACTTCATTTAACCTGAGAAATGACACAGAATTTGTCTTTTTATAATCCTTTGTGAAAAAGGATGTATTCCCCTCTAATTCACATGAAATATTAAGAGTTTAATATCCAACTGTTTCTAAAAGAAATTTATAAACTGCAATATTGAAATCTGTATACATCTTCAAACGTTTTATAAAAATAACATTATTATTATTGTGATTATTCAAATTACAAACCCCCTTCAAATTAAGGGCAACTTTCTTAAAATATTTTACACAATAAGCTGTTTTTTCTATCTTAATATTGTTGATTGCATGATAAAACAATATTTCAATAGTCTTTTGCCAAACTAAAATAAGGAAAATGCACACATTCGCTAAAAAACTTCTTTTTAATTTAGATTTTCTTAACCCTATACATTTTATCTCTGAAAGGGTAAATTGTCAAATAGAATCCAGAGTCCTTAGTACAACTGTTTTTCTACAGTTTATGACTGTAATACAACAAATATCACCTAAAGCAGTGATTTGCAAGCATGATTTGTAATACTCTGCTTTCTCCAGTTTTGTAAAGGAGCAGTCCTAAATGCTAAAGATGTGTGTATAGTTTATTTGAAAGATAAAGAAAGGGTGCATACTTTAGTACTTTGAGGGTCAAAATTATATAACTATATCAAATATATAACAGAGGTGTAATTATGAAAAATTTCGAAGACTTTCTAATATTTTCAATTTTAAATAATACAGAAACTCGTTTAATGAAGTCTACCAAGTAGAAACATACTGGCATTGACTTCCCATTTCATTTTACTTATAAGTTATCCACTGAATATGTCCCCTATACATCAAAAGTATCAAAAGTTCATCTCAGTAACTTGCAGTTTGCATACAAATAATTTCTCATTATTATGGTGTATTCACAGTACAAATCTATGTGAAGAAATACCAAATGTATTAGGCTATTTAGAAAATAAGTGACTTTAAATATCGTCATATTACTTACTTTATCTCTTTGTCCTATAGCTTGTTGTACGTATTCTATTCCATTTATTACTGTACATACTGCTTTACACTGTCGCTTTGGACACTTATAATCTATCTTTTTGAATATAAAGTCCTTTTGTGTAGAAAAATCTTATTCACCTTTGAATCACTGATGGGCTTTGTCTAATGAATAAGTTAAAAAGATCTTACAGTGGATGGATATTGTCTGAGAGGGCATCAGCTTAGAAAGCCACTGAAGTATCCTTCCAAAAACTGTTTATAGGGGAGGGGAGGGAGAGGAAGTCACCTGAGGGAAAAATCATTAGCCTACAAAACACAGCACTTTGTATCAATAAATAAATAAATAAATAAAGCACAAAGAAATGTCATCAACCAAATCTCACTACCAAGTTAATTTTTAAAATTCTCACTTTTATTTCTCCTCTATGTACTTTTAATTAGTAGGGTTTTTTTTGGGGGGGGGCATGTTTTTCCATCAGCCCTCAGCCTCAGCCCACAGCTAGTGATTGTGTTTAAAGTCCACCTTGCTTATTAAATTTGAGAATGTACAAAAAGTTGATATAGGTGCACACAAAACGGTATATGCCTCATTTCGGTACAGTGATGCTCCTCCTTCAAAAGTACATCTGTGGTCTCCTAGAATCTTGTGACTACTGCAATTCAAAGACTGTTTCTAATTAATAAATTATTGTCATTTTCATACAATTCCATGCGATACAACCTGCTTGGGACTTTTACACAAAGACTGAAATGAAACTTTCACTGCTAGTAGGCCCTATGGAAGGTTATGAGACTCATAATACATTTGGGATTTATATTAGCACAAAAAGTTGATTTGGGATACTCTTAGTGGAAAAAATATATATACATATTTATATCCTAACCCTGGAGATATTAGTAAACTACTTAGCAGTCAGTAAATAAAAGAAAAAATTTAAAACTTCTTCGATAAGAAATTTCCAGTATTATTATTTGAAATCCAATGGTTTTACTCTTTTGCTCTTAGGGAGACCTAAGAGCATTTCCTACAGAAACGAAAATCTCAAATAACAAAGCTTTCTACACTGTCAGAGGCTGACAGTCGAGGACAGTGCTTAAAGAATTAAAGGAAAGGTTTAACTTAGAGAACTAACTAATGTCAGCTTCGGAGATTTCCGTTTCTCCCCCCCCCCTTCCCCCCCCCCCCGCCAAACTGAAAGCAAAGGTGAGCTGCTAATATACAGCCTTGCCCTTCCAGCCATCAGTGACTTTCCCATGCAAATTCAGACGCTGCGTTCTGTTTTTAAAACTGAAAACACTGCAGAGCAACACAAAAACACACTTCTCTTGGCGTCTGCTTGAACACATGCTTGAAGCTCTGCTCACAGAAAGTCACAGGGACTCGCGCTCCGCCACTGCGTCCTTAGGGCGAGTAGCTCATCTGCGACCACCTATGCTTCACTTTTTCATTCGATTCTCCCATCACGCATGGGAACAAACAGCTCTTCCAAAGCGCTAGGTCTCTAACACTCACGGAGGCACATATCCCAGGACAGTTGCCCACAATTTAAATTCTTTTAAATTTCGCTCGCCTCCAGGGCGCAGCTGCTAATTCAAAGTTTATTTCTTTCATTAACTGCACAACTTTTCTCTGATACAAAAAGCAAAGGAAAGATCACTTCACCTTTTTCCTCTGCAAAATCTTGCTGGACGATTTCGAAAGCAGAGGTCCCCGGAGCATTCGCGGGTCGCAGGGCGTCCGGGGCGGCAACTCGGGGCCTGCCGGTGCCGCCGCCCTCCGCCGCCCGCGCGCCGGGCCCGGAGCGCAGCAGCCCCTGCAGCCCGCGCGCCTCGCTCTCCTCCTGGGCTTGCTGCCGGCGAAGCGCCACCTGCGCGGCCATGACACGCTGGCGCTCGGCGATCAGAGTGCACTTGGCACACGCGCAGTCCCGCCAGCGGCAGAAGCGCTTGTGGCCCTTGAGCGCGGACACCACGCCGTGGTTGCGACAGCGCGCGCACTTGGGCGTCCGCGGGTATCCGCAGCCCAGCGCCCTCTCCAGCCCGGGCGCCGGCGCGCAGCCTGCGCTTCCTCGCAGGAAGAGGCCGGGCGGCCGCAGGAAAGCAGAGGGCGCCGCGATCCCCGGCGGCAGAGGCAGAGCCGGCGACGGGGCCGCGGGGGACCCGGCCAGCAGCGCCGAGGCGGGGAGAGCTCGGCCGCGGCTGCTGCGGTCGCGGCTGCCACCCCGCGTCTGCTCCATCCCGGGAGGCTGCCGGCCGGCCAGGGGCAGCGCCCGGGAGCGCGCCGTCCGCCGCTGACCCTGCCGGGAGCCCGGGCTTCCCGCCCCAGGCCCCCACGCACCCAGGGGCGCGTTCACACCGTTCCCGTCCGGAGCGGACGGACGACCAAAGCCGCAGTGCAGAGTCGGAGACGCGAAGACGTGCAGCTGCCGCGAGCGCGGCTTTTGAAGGCGTCCCGGCCCGCCGGGGCGCCCGGGCTCAGCGCCGGAAAGGGCGAGGCGGGCCGCGACCCCGCCCCCGGCCGGCCCAGCGCTGCGGCGGGGAGGCCGGAGAAGGGCGCCGGCTCCTGGAGGAAGGCCGGGTTCCTGGGGAGCCCTCCCGAGCGCTGCAAAGGCCCCTTCGCCGAAACACACTTGCTCCCACTGGCTTTCCTTGAAGTTCTTCAGGATGTATTTTATGAAACAGCCTTCCTTCTCACCTTCTTACTCTCTCTGTCCTCCTAAATTAGGATTTAAAGTTTTCCTTTCTCCCCTCCCAATTCCCATGCAACTTTGAAGATGTGGATTTTGAGTCTACTTTTCTGTTCCTTTCCCCTATGACGTCTTCAGGACAGCAGTTTGGTCCAGATTAGTGAAAAGTAACAAGATTGAAAAACTACAAAGCCGTTACTCACTAGAGAAAGGCGATACTTTGAATGGATTTTGTGAGGGCATCAAAAGTGACTAGTTAAGGGGACTGATTCATAGTCACATTTTTCTAGTATCTTCTATCTATTTACACATGCAGTTTTAGACTATGCATAGTGTTACGGTCTGAAATATTGCTGCCTAAAAGTCATTATGAATCTCTCCTCAGTAACTATAGGCAACCATTGTTAACATTTCACAAATACTTCACATTTTTATTCTACATTATTAAGTAAGATCATTTAGATGATTCGTTAAATATGTTATTAAAATGCATTCTTGAAATATCTGCTTAATGACTTTAGTGGTTAAAAAAAAGCACCCTATTAATTTTAAGCCAAAAGAGCATTTAATGCAGAAAATTCATGGGTTTTTGTTCTTTTGTATTACAAGCATATAATATTAATTGGCAAAACGCTGAATACAAGCTTCACTATCATGAAAACAAAATATTAAGCAATATTCCAAAAAAGATTTTCGACAAAAAACTAGTCACTGATGGAATGAAAATTACATACCAACACAAAGTATGAAAAATGTAAACTTTCCAGGTAAACAGTCAAAAATATGTATCTGCATTATCATTTGCATGCATCATGGTAGCTTTCATTAGCTTTCACAACTGTGAGTGAAGGCTCAGGCTGAGCAACTGTCCCCAACCTACGTCACTGTCACTTGGGAAAAATGTGTCCTCAGTACCCATCCTGAGTGACTTGAATGGACACTCACACCAACGCCGCATGCACCTCCAGGTATACAGGCCTGAGCCCACTTTTCAGTGCATTCAGCAATGGGACAGTAACACTTGGAGAGGTGGCCATGGCCCCTCAGCCATTCCCAGAGGAGCAAAATCTTAGTGAAAAGGAGAATCAGCATTGTGTCAGCTCTTCAGGATAATACTCAACTTCCTTGACAGGCAATTCATACTTAGGCCTTGCAGTGTCAGTCATGACTTAACATTCCCAAAACACACAGGGCAGACATTGCTAATTGATCTGAAGTTTCTTCTGCCTGGTATTCCAATGATCACAAACGTTTTTCCATACCTTTATCTTTGCTTGAGCCATACTTAAATAAAATCCGAAGTTCACATCCACCACGTGAGAGAGCTGAGTTTTTAATTCTCCTCCTACACTCTAGACAAGGTCTTGCTAAGTAGCCTGGGCTCAAATTTGTGATCTTCATGCCTCACCCTCCGGGCAAGGATTACAGGCATGTACCACCATGCCAGGCGACATCATACAACATACCAAAAACCTGCCTTAAGTAGATTACTTAGAATTGAGTGATATTCTTTGGTTTTATTGGATTATTAATGCTACTTTAACAATTATTGTGAATGATACTGGCTTTTATCAAAAAGTGTTAAGTAAATATGTTCAATAAAATGTGTGCAATTTAAATGGAAGTGGTGATGTAGATATTGCACATACATATATGGCAATAGAGACATGTATATTTGCATCTATTTCTTACTTAAAACTTTTAGTAAATTAAGAATAGAAAGAACTCCCTTGAACTTCAGTAAACAGTAGCTATGAATGAACAAAAGCTTCTTTGTAAGGTAATCAAAGATATCCACTCTTACCACTTCAACTCAGAATTGTGATGCATATGCTGGCCAGTGCTGTCAGACAAGAAAAGTAAGTTAAGGACATTCAAATTGGAAAAGATGCCCCTAAACTCTTTATTTGCGGGTGACATGATCATCTGTCTAAAAATGAAAGAAAGAAAAATAATAATAAAAATGAAAGAAAGAAAGAAAATCTGCAAGAAACAAGAAAAAAAAAACACCCTAAACTAAGAAGTGATTTTTTTCAGAGTGAAAAGATATAAAATCACTATACCAAGTTACTGTATTTCTATAAATTGAAATAAAATCAAATGATCAGAAATGGAATGAAGGACTAATTGATTTATAATGGTATTCAAAATATTAAAATTTAGAGATATATTTAATAAAATGCATGAAAAACTAAATGCTAAAAAACATGCTCTCAGAAATTAAAGAAATAAAGGATAATATTCCTGGGTCTGAGGATGCAGCCTTGTTAAATGGCAATTCTACCCAGATTGATCTGCACATCAGTGCAATCCCCACAAAAAGTCCAACCGTCATTTTTGTAGAAATTATCAATTTCATTCTGAAATTCATATGGAAATACCAAAGAAGAAACAAGACAACCAAAAAAATCCTTGAAAAAGAATAAATTTGCAATGTTACCATTATGTAATTTGAAGAATTATCATAAAATTCCAGTAATGAAAACAGTATAGTATTAATGTAAAAACAGGAAGAGCGACCATTGTGACAGAATAAGGAATCTAAAGATCTTCCTATGCATAAATGTACAATTGATTTTAGACAAAGGTATAAAAACATTCCAGTAGAATGCAGAGTATGGCCAAACAAAAATAAAGAAATACAAAAGAATTAGGAATAAAATATATATAAAGGATAGTTTTTTCCCATCAAATGTATACAAAGAAAAAGCCAACTTTGATCCAAACTTTACAACCCAGAAAAATTAGCTCAAGGTGGAGGAGAAAGCCTAATGAACCTCACAAAACACTTTGAATTAGATGAAGATTTCTTAGGCACAACATCAAAAATATGACCATAAAAAAGAACAAATTGATAAAATGTACTTCATCAAAATTACATATGGGCCTGGGAATTTAACTCAGCGGCATAAGAGCCCGCCTGGCAGGTGCCAGGTCATGAGTTCAATCCCCCGAGCCAAAGAATAAAATAAAATTATACACATCTCTACTTGAGAAGATATCATTAAGAGAATGAAAAATCATACATGACTTTGAGAATATAGCTGTAGCACACACTGCTGTTAAAAAATTTGTATGCAGAAAAGGACTTTAAAACTCAATAAAAAATCTGTTTTTATTAATGGGCAAGAGATTTCAATAAACACGTTACCAGAGAAGTTGTGAGAATGGAAAAAAAGCAACGGAAAGACTTTGCATATCATTAGTCAATAGAGAAAAACAAACTTACGAAAATATATTATTATGTATCTCTTATAATGGCTAAGAATAATGATTGATCACTCTGAGTAAAATGACCACATGATCCAGTCATTCCATTCCTAGACATATTCCTCAAGAAAAATAAAGCAAATCCCATAGAAAGACACAAATTTTCATAAAAGCTCCTTTTTTCTAATCATAAATTTTAAAAATCCAAACATTAATTAACAGATGAATGGCTAAATTGCAGTATATTCAATTCATGACACACTACTAGTAAAAACAGTACTACTAGTACTGTAATTCCTAATATTAGTACTAGTAAAACCTTGTTACCTATAAAATATAGGCACATAATAACATGAGGACAAATTGAGGCAAAATACTACATAAAACTGGAGCATTCATCAGCACTTTCATTTTTTTCTCAGATACCCTGGAAAGCCTTGCTCTTTCCTCTCCTCTCCTCCCCTCCCTTCCCCTCCCCTACCCTCTCCTCTCCTCTCCTCCCCTCCCCTTCCCTCCCCTCCTCTCCTCTCTCCTCTCCTCTCCTCTCCCTCTCCTTCCCTCCCCTCCTCTCCTCTCTCCTTTTCTCCTCTCCTCTCCTCTCCTCCCCTCCCCTCCCCTCCTCTCCTCTCTCCTCTCCTCTCCTCTCCCTCTCCTTGCCTCCCCTCCTCTCCTCTCTCCTTTTCTCCTCTCCTCTCCTCTCCTCCCCTCCCCTCCCCTCCTCTCCTCTCTCCTCTCCTCTTCTCTCCCTCTCCTCTCCTCCCCTCCCCTGCCCTCCCCTCCCCTCCCCTCTCCTTTCCTCTCCTTCCCTCTCTTCTCCTCCTCTCTCCTCTCCTCCCCTCTCCTCTCCTCCCCTCCCCTCCCCTCCTGTCCTCTCTCCTCTCCTCTCCTCTCCCTCTCCTCCCCTCCCCTCCCTTCTCCTCCCCTCCCCTCCCCTCCCCTTCACTCTCCTCTCCTCTCACTCTCCTCTCCTTTCCTCTCCTCTCCTTATTCTTTTCACCCTCCTCACTGCACCACTACCCTTCCCACTCCTCTTCTTCCCTTGTCTTTTCCTAGTAACTTTATGTGTTGTCTCTTTTTCTCAAATTGCATGTCATTCTTTGTTCCTGTCTACCTAAGTAACAGCAATTGAGTACTGTTGCTTTTCTCATAAATGTCACTGAGAATTGTTAACAACTGCAATTCAACAGTGGCAACAGTTTCATCACATGGAAAGATGATGTTTTTTAGTTAAACTGTGTTCAAATTTTACAAATATATCATTTCCAATTTTATTCTGACTAAAGTAAAAATACAATTTGATAAATGGAAAAGCATTAGAGTACAACAAAAGGAAGGAAGCTAATAAATATACTTCCCAAGCTTGTGCATATTTTTAAATTACTAATTTTTACTCCAAATCCTTGTCAATTGAAATGCTTTACTTTTTGTCTACCCTACTAGCCACCAACAGAGAGGAGTGGAATTACAATATAAATCTGCCTA